CCCCTCTTGCTGTACGGTATTTGCCTATCGCCGTGCTCCTAACTCATGTTGTCCAAGAATTTTATTACTTCGTTGACGAAAACATGTGATCCAACAAGGGAATTGTGTATTGATGGTGAAGCGCGAGTTTTGTGAGCACCGTCTGGAAGGCCAGCACAGACAGTCGCAGCTGAAATTGGGTGTTGAAGGCGATTGAAAGTGTGTTCTGTGAACGAAAACTGACCGTTTTGAAGACGACGAAGTACACTGCCACCGTTGGAAGCAAAAACAGCAGTATGGTGAAGAGCAATGTGGTTATGAACTGCTGCCTTGTGTCCAGACGAACCTGAACCAAAGTACTAAATGAAATATGTTGACTGATAATTTCGGTCATTTTCGACGGTTTTTAGAAGTTTCACAAGAACAAGCTTTATACACCATTTGCACATTTGAACATCCAGGCTGAATCCGTTTTTGTTGCATAATTTCTGGGAAATTAGTGAAAGAAATCTAAGTTTTCCACTCCCCTGCATCATTTCGTCATCAAAAAGATAATTTCTGCTCAAGCAAAACTCCCGATGATACCAAATTTCCATGCAGACTTCTGTAACAAATCTAAAAACCTAGTACAGATTGAATGAAAGCAGCCTGGACTTCGTTTTTGGGACAAAAAGCAAAGGAGGTGACATTTTTGCGGGGCTCAGGCTTTTTTGTTTTCCTCTTCTCCTACGTCAATAAGTTCCCAATAAGGGTCAAAAGAGAATTCCAAGAACTTTTCGAAGATCAGGGTGCACTTCGTTTTCAGCCCCTATGCTACATACACTGTAAATCTTGTTTTCGATAAACTCCCATCTTTTTAGGAAATTCTGTTCAAATCTTGTTTTTTAAACTCTCTTTATCTGTAAACTTCTGGTTATCTGCCAAAATGCTTCAGACACTTCGGATTTGAAGCCGTAATTTTAATGTGCCCTCACGCTCGCGTAGAAACGAAAAAAATTAGAGTAGGCATGTAACAATCATGCTCAAAAAATTTATGACTGAAAAATTCCCTGACTACTGCAAGCCATTTTTGTGGTGATTCTGCCATATTAAGCTTCGAGCGAATTTTTGTACTTTAACCAGCATGCAACCTCGCTAAAACTTGGGCTTTTCCTTTGAAGGAACCTTAGTCTTCTAAAATTTCATGCTCTAATGGAATAGGGACTGCCCAGGAAATCACAGAAATGCAAAGTACTAAAAACGAAAAACAGCAGCAAATGTAACAAGAAAAACGGGTTAGCAAACTGATTTAGCAAACTGACTCTGGAAAAAATGGTTTTAAGCGGTTCGAGATAACAAAGTAATTTCAACATTGTGGCAGGGAGATGACAATTAGGCACAATCCGCATACCGAATCTGTTCGGCATCGCAGTGGGTTCCATTTTCGACCTCGGAAAACTCGCCATAGAGATACTAAACTTGCCCATGAAACTTTCGCAAGCCTGAAACATTCAAAATAAACTTCTGCAACACACCAAGCACATTTTTTGTAATGAATTTAAATCATTAAACACAAGTCAAGCAAGAGATTTATTTGATCAACGACCGTCTACAATCGAGCAACCGACTGCGAGAGATCTTCAAGACAAGGAGTTAAAGAATCATTAAAATTAATGATGAGATGTAATTGCAATGTCTTAAGGTAGAAGAGAAGTCATAGGCAGAAAGGGCCGTGGGTGGGAGGGGGGAGGGGTCTATCGCGATCTGTACACGCGAATCAGCAGTCCGAAGTAACCGATGGTATAGAAGCCGATGATGAAGGCCACCATCAAAAGCTGGTCCAGTACGAAACGATCCGCTTTGAACGAGAACATCGACAGCACCTCGTCGCGCCGCTGAAAAATGAAAATACTTCCATTCAATAGATCATAAGTAGAACTGCTCAAGGGTGTTTCGTCTCCCGAAGGCATATATTTTAGCGCTTTTTCCAAATAACAT